TTTATCACCATAGGAAGACGATCTGATTAGATTTTGGAGTACGTAGGTCAAAGGTCACAGGTCACAGAGGTCAACTTATGAAATTCCTTGTATTGAGTTTGTTAGCGCGATATCTCAAGAACCATTTGAGATTTAAACTTCAAACTTAAGGATAGTATGTATCACCATAGGAAGACGATCTGATTAGATTTTGGAGCACGTATGTCAAAGTTCAAGGGTCACAGAGGTCAACTTATGAAATTCCATACATTGAGATTGTTATCATGATATCTCAAGAACCACTGGAGATTTAAACTTCAAACTTAGTGATAGTGTGTATCACTATAGGAAAACAATCTGAATACATTTTGGAGCACGTAGGTCAAAGGTCAAGGGTCATAGAGGTCAACTTATGAAATTCCATACATTGAGATTGTTATCATGATATCTCAAGAACCACTGGAGATCTAAAAACTTCAAACTTAAGGATAGTATGTATCACCATAGGAAGACGATCTGAATAGATTTTGGAGCACGTAGGTCAAAGGTCAAGGGTCACAGAGGTCAACTTATGAAATTCCATACATTGAGATTGTTATCATAATATCTCAAGAACCACTGGAGATTTAAACTTCAAACTTAATGATAGTGTGTATCACCATAGGAAGACAATCTGATTAGATTTTGGAGCACGTAGGTCAAAGGTCAAGGGTCACAGAGGTCAACTTATGAAATTCCATACATTGAGATTGTTATCGCGATATCTCAAGAACCACTGGAGAATTTTCACTTCAAACTTAATGATAGTATGTATCACCATATCATAATATCTCAAGAACCACTGGAGATTTAAACTTCAAACTTAATGATAGTGTGTATCACCATAGGAAGACAATCTGATTAGATTTTGGAGCACGTAGGTCAAAGGTCAAGGGTCAAAGAGGTCAACTTATGAAATTCCATACATTGAGATTGTTATCATGATATCTCAAGAACCACTGGAGATTTAAACTCCAAACTTGTTTAAATTGCTCTATGGCGAAGGCATCATTTTCGACTGCGCGCAGTCAAAATTCCATCTAGTTTTGTTCTAGAACAAATTCAGCCACTGTGTTCTACATGTACATGTACATGCATTCTTTGATGTTTATCTACATGTGTAGGTTTCAAGGACTTTATAAATCTAAACATATATGTACATGTACTGTATAATGGGATGTATTTTTTTTTAAGTATTCACTGTACATGTACTGAATTTAAAATGCATTAAGGTGAATTTGGTTTCTATACATGGACTTGTAATTTGTCTAGTATCCTCTAGCCTGGATAGTGGATACATGTAGAAAGGAAGAAATTTTGCTTTTTATTCTTGAGAAATGTATCTTGACTATCTTCACCATCTTCACTAATCAACTACACAAAGAAAATTGACAATTTTCAATGGCTGAGTAGCCTGAGTAGGCGGATGGAGATTGGAGATCTTATCAAAACTGCAACATACCGTACACATATGTGCAAAAGACTACCGTAATGAAAATTCTTTTTATCATCTTCTGACAATATGTACAATGTACTAATATCTTTGTTTTGAATTTCAATTGATGGGCTACTGTACAATCTACAAAGTCATGCGCAGTGTATTTGGTGTACTGTACATGTACATGCTATGCACCCTGTCTGGTGAATACATGCTTGCTAATATATTATGTGAAGCAGGCAGGCAGAGAGGCAGGCAGAGAGGCAGGGAGAGGAAGGGAGGCAGGCAGAGAGGCAGGGAGACGGCTGAGGACTGAGACTCACTCACTCTCTATTATTAGTGAGATGAGTCAGACGAGCTACGGTGTCTCCTTGTTCCTGTGTGTGATCCTTACAAGTAACCTACTCAATACATACTGTACATGTGCGTTCACGTGTTCTCTATCGGGGCAACTCCAATCCTCTGAATTTACAATTTAAATTGAGTGCTGGTGTTTTCTTTTGGTATTCATTAGGCCTATAGTATTCATAATGATTTTGTTAACTTTTGTATTACAGCTGGGAAAAAAGTTAATAGACATACAGTGTTTACAGTACAGTTGTATACATGTCAGTAGTACCGGTAGATCAATCCACTTTTGAGCATGATTTGACATGGTTCATCAAATGAAAATTTCATGGATTTAATTAGCTGTAGGTCTCTATATAGACACATGGTATATATTTCAACTTGCATGTAACCATTTATTTACACATCTTCCACTTTGCTCTTTAGGCTCTTTTCTAATTTTCAACACAAAATATTATCTATGAATGCTCACTACATAGAGAAAAAATGAACAAAACAGGATGTTAGGGGGTTATTAGCAGTTGGTCCCTGGGCCAAAGTTGGCCTGAGCCCCCTCCCACCCACCCCTCCTAGTACATGTATGCACTATGCATTGACCCAATGTCTGGTGAATGTACATTACGCTGAAGGACAATACTATAAAGAGACTTGAATGTCATTTTTGGTTTGCTGGTGACATGTACAATGTAGCTTTGTACAGTACATGAACATGATTCGTAAATAACCCACTTATGGTTTGTAGATAACCCACTTATAATTTTTTTTGTTTACATCAAGTGATGAAAGATTAGGTGTTCTTTTTTTATGAGTCAGAGCTTCTCTAGATGCCTAGTTCATTCTTCAAGATGTACAGCATGCTACATTGTACATGTGTAGTCTTAAAGAGAAGGTTGAGTTCTGGGAAGAGGTGAAAAATAATTTGTGAGCATCCTTGTTATTATGCAAGTGTGGAAGAACATTAGATAAAACATGTTCCCTGAAAAGCATGGCTCTAAATATGTCACATAACATCGTAAAAATTGGGACGGATTTTTTCACCACATGTTCGTGGAGTCCCTTATACATCTTTCTGTGTACAGTATTTGTAACTTTACCAAGACTTGGCCAAATCTCTTATCATTTAGATGATTCCAGAACCTTGCAATACACACAAATACGCTAGATGATCAACCTTTTCTGGTTGATTCCACACCGTTTCTTTCACAATGCAATCGCATGGCCAGAACTTAACTTCATCTTTAATGCACATGGTGATATTAGTGACCAATTATGAGTTGCATGTAGGTTTATCATCTAAGCAGTGCTATCAATCATGTAGAGTGAGAGACGTAGGGAAGAAGACAGGATGGATAATTTGACCATCTGTGTCAGGATTAAAATCCCAGACAGGCTTCATGGGGTTCATATCGTGAGTCTAGCCTTCATTCAAGATCAAGGTTTGACTTGTGAGAACCTACATGTACGTTTGTAATTGTACTCAACTGTTTCACTTTACAAATTAGTATTAGAGTTGACTTCAATATATATATATTTATTTATTTCTGTCCATTAATCGAGGATATGCAAACATTAAATGCCCTTTTACTCTCATGTACTACGTACAAATGCTATTAGTAAGCTAAATGTTTAACCTAATAAAGGCTCGTTGACTGGGTGCTGGCCGTATTGTGGAAATAACAATTTATGAAGTCCCTGGAGTTTAGGCTAATGTCAAGACAGGAAAGCTCTTTGTTTGGGTGTGGATTGCTTACTAATTCATTACGCATTTTGCTCCATCTCCCTGGTTTTAAAGGTACAGGTGCACAACACTGCATGCACATGTGTCTGTTATTTAACATTGAAATTTGAATAATGTAACTGTATTTTGACTTTTTGGCTCACAAGCGAACCACATGCGAAGCCTGCATAGATGTATTTGGTATAGGATTGAGCTACTCTGATTCCTGTGTGTTCAGCAGATTATTCTACAATTGCAATGTAGGCCTATAGATGTAAAATGATGAACATATTAAGAAAGAGAATATTTGAAGAAAACTGATCAAATAGTACTACATACACTGTACGTGTATCATACATGTAATTAATCCCCTTTCACTGTATAAAGTGTATTTTCTAATTTCTACGATTCATCATTCAGAAAGGGAATACATGTATAGCTTGCCTGGCATTTTGAAGTTGTACATGTACAGTGTATACTGGGCATTTAGTACACAATTCCCCACCATATCAATTGAATTAAACATGTAGTACACTCAACAGTACAAATTTAAGCCATTTGCTCTGAATATTTATGGGGATAAAAATAGGCCTTCAAGGCTACATACTGTATGGTACATTTTGGTCAACATGTCATATGTGTGTAAAAGGCTGATGAACTGCAACATTAACCAGGGTATATACAATATGTGTGTATTATCATTATGCCTACAGTCTTTAGAGCTCATATGTTTATCTGTAGCAAAGCAAGTGTGGGTGTCGTTGTTTACATGCATCAGTACAATCACTAATAATTTGCTGAACGCACCCATCTGTTCTGGGAGCTAGCTGTCACAGTTGCAGCAGTTCTTTTGTTTGAGCTCCTGTGCATAGTATCCAGGTAGCAGAGATTGTGAGGGTGTGGATTTGTATTTTAACGATATTGATTTCTCCTGATACATGTATTAGAGCTAGATTGCGATGCATTGGTTATTGATATCAGAGGAATTCCAAATGTTATGTTGTCTGCTGTAAATCTACTTGTGCATATTTATAGTGTACATTATATTGACACAGTATTCTACATTGACAATTTTCATGATCTTGTAGATTTTTTTATGATGAAATTAATGAATGTTCAATTGACTTTAAAACTGAGTTAAAACAATTTAGAGGAGTCAAATATTAAAATACAGTTTAACAAATTATGTAGTGTTTAAATGATAATGTTATGAATGCATGGTACATGTATGTATTAATGCAGGTTACAAAATAACCAGAGCTGTTTTAGGTCTAGAGTTACATGCACAATAAGTAAATTTACCCATTGAAATAATTTCTTCTTTTGACCGTTGGCAAGTGATGGCTTTTTGATGAGTTTCTGCTAACCACTCCCACCTCCTGTGTGTTTTAACTGCATTAAATATGTGAAAAATGTTATGTGTGAAGGAGAGACATGTTTGATTTGATGATGTCTATTGTTTTTTTTTTTATATTATAGGTAGAGTACACTCAGCATGCATCAGTGGAATCAACCCAGGTACAGACAGTGTTACAGTGGAATGGTTTGAAAGAGGTGACACCAAAGGAAAAGAGGTAATTGAGTTTGATTTATAACTGTTTCGAAACATTACTCTTCTCTTGCAGGAGCTTAGTCTTTCATTAACAATGTATTAGTAAAAATATTTTTAAAAAATAAAATAAAAACAATTATTTATTTTTTATTTTGTATTATTTATTAATTTATGAGGATAATGATTATTTATTTATACAAATTATTATTATTTAAACAAATTTTATACGCATGTTTACATTTCCCCCCTGTATTTTTTCAATGCTTTTAACATCACCATCTCATGGGTGTATTTATTACTCTTCTATCCATCTCTCTCATCTCACAGATTGAGATATCAGCCATCTTTGCCCTGAACCCTAACCTAGCAGCCCCAGCTGAGCCCCCTGCTCCGGCCCCAGCGGTAGCCCCTGCACCCGCCCAGTCACAGATCCCTGCACCCAAGAGCAGAGTCAGCAGTGCTAAGGTTGCTCCTCCAGAACCCAATAAACCTTTATCTAAAGCTACTCCAAGGGAAACCAGAGGTAAGAATCACAGCAGAAGATATAAAGAAACATTCGTAATGAAGGTACAGTCTCTTCATGTAAAGGATGTCATTGTAATATTTAATGGCCACATTTCTGAAAAGTTTAGTGGCCTGCGATTATTTCTTGGCTTGTAAGAGAACCTCCAGAAATACACCCTGACTAAAACAATCTTTGGCATCTTTATTTGCCTATGAAGAAGGCAATACCTAAACAGAGTTTAAAGGGCATCGTATGTAGCTGTAGACTTAACATGCACTTCACAACATTTGAATATATGATTTAACCTCAGTTTCAAGAAGAAGTTTGAAACTCAAGTATTTTAAATTCATGTGAAACTAACCAAACAACAAGTATCAAACAAACCAATACCTCTTTATGGGATAGCATTATTATGAAAGCCTTTAACAGGCACATTTACATGTATATGGGCCACTTAATCCATGTGAGCCACATTTATTCTCCCTCAAGTGGCCTTAAGATATTAAGGATTGACTTCATATTTTTCTGGACTATTCTCAAACTTCAGATGTGGGTGATCTTTACTATTAAAGTGTGTTGCTCTGCCTTGTGTGTGCTACAGTGCTACAGTATGCAACACATTCCCTCAAATTTAAATCATGAAAATATCACATTATGTTATGATTTAGTAATTATTTTGATTTGCTGTGAACTAACCCATTCACCACTAAACAGCCTTGTTCCAACATACTGGTACACCAAATTTTCAGTGTGATTTTGTTCCCCATCCTTTGATTTCATTCTAAGAGCAAGTGTGAACTATAAAGTATTACAGTGTACATGTAGCTTAAAGATTCTGTGCTTTCAACTTTTACCAAGTATCAAGTTGCATGATAAACATCTAGATAAGTTGTGGGGAAAAAATAAACATGGTATTATTCAGAATGATTCAGTCGAAAAAAGGAAAACTGTAAGGCCTTATATTGTATGATCCCAAATGATAGTATCAGCTACAGAGTTCCTGGAAATTATTTGTGACTCAAAAACATTTAAGGTCATGCACATGGATACTATAGGCCCGTCTTCACTATCTCGAGATTGCCAAATATCCAGCTATTTGAACTATCCCGATCGCAAACTATCCAGCTATTTGCGTCTTCATTAGAACGAAGTAGCAAATTAGCTGGATAGTTGGTCGGGATAATATCCCAAGATATCTCGGTCTAGTTTGCAAAATATCCCACTATTTCCGAACTAGCGGGATAGTTTGCGACCGTCTTCATTAGACCTAAGTCCGGAGTCAAAGATCCCGATCCCATCATGCACAACGATTTCCGGTTCGCACATGCGATCTATACCGCTCAGCGCGCTAGTACAACCACTGACCTCGAGTAAGCACGGAAAACCGCAAACTAGACTGAGATATCTTGGGATATTATCCCGACCAACTATCCAGCTAATTTGCTACTTCGTTCTAATGAAGACGCAAATTAGCTGGATAGTTTGCGATCAGGATAGTTCAAATAGCTGGATATTTGGCAATCTCGAGATAGTGCAGAAACGCCTTATAAGAATGAGTGATCTTTTCATAGCACCCAGTAATCTACTTTTCTAGTTTATTTCAGTAGGAGACCTTGACCTCTGTTTTTTCTCCTCATTTGTCTCTTTTCTGTTTCTGTCCTGTCAGATCTCCATCTCTCTGTTGATCAGTTTCTATTAAAAAAAGGAATTCTTCTGTGTTTTTCTTCTTCCCTGTTCTAGTCTCTTCTCTCCGTTCTCCCTTTTCAGTTACTTGTCTTTCTCCATCCTCCTGAGTACCTTGATCTGTAATATTCTCCCAACTTTACTCCTCACCTGTATGACAAGACCTGATAGTAACTTAGCCAACACCGTAGCTATTTGGCAAGACCTGACTGTATATCCATTTGTCAAGAGTTTATTTTATGTTACCCCATACATGTACTTGCAGTCCCGCATAACTCAAATATCTCCACAACCTTGAATTTGATGACATTTCCTGAGGTAATGCCAGGCAACGAGCCTTACGCAATTTGACGATTAGTGATAGAATGTCAGTGACTTGCAGGCCAAGCTAGTATTTACATGTTCAGGTCTGTCTTCATGTAGGGCACAAGAAAGGTTCCTGAACACGATTAGAGGCCTGTAATATCCCTGATATTGTGTTTTTTAGAAATCAGCCATTAGACCAAGTTAGTTTCTCATTTCATTACATATTGTACATCATGACTTTCATGTTTTGTTTCTTAGGTGCATAGTACGAATAAATGTGTGTCTTACATGTATCTTGTATGTGTGCCATTGCCGTGACGAAAAGCTACTAGAGTTGCTAGTGGTTCATTGATGCAGCCAGGGCGAGATTATTTTAAACAAAATATGTTATAATTGTGTAAATTGACATTACATGCAGGCTCTACTAGAGGCTGCAACATTTATTTTTTACATCCCCATTGACATTCCCCTCCAAATGAACAGTGTTGGAGGAAAGGAAACTGCCTATTAAAGGCTGCCAGAGAGTCTAGGCTTGAGGTGGGGAAAAAAAAACCAAACAGTCAAACAAATTGGGAAAATGGCTGAATGTTAATATTCCCTTTTGACTTTAGAAAACATTAAAGAGAGGATTTTCAGACTGAAAAGCTGGTTAAAAACCATAGTAATACATATCAAGAGAAAGTGGAAGGAAAAATCTTGTAGGATAATGATAAGAAAGTTATTAATTTTTAAGTTGGAATCAAATGCGAATTGGCATATATCTCCCTTTATCATTTCAAATCATTTTAAAGGGAGTACTATTTATAGGACAATACGCAGATCTGGTAAGTATCTTATTATTTTGCAAAACCAAAAAGGCAACATTTTTAGCATACACCCTGTACATTTGTTAGCTTAAATAGTGTAATCTCTTATAATAAATGTACAGTATACCATAACTTCAACAACTCTTTTTACATGCTTTACATAAAGTATATTTCAGCTGCAATACATTCAGTGTACATTCATGCAGCACTCAATGTACCCATTTCTACATGCTACATCTCCCATTCCTCCCAATAACATGTGCACTACATTTCCAGGCATTTAATTGGAGCAAATTCTTTCAATTAAGAAACTTACCCCCCAATCAGTTATACCGGGGGGAGAGACCCGAGGGTTACAGTGATTCAGTTCGCTTTTCGCCTCCCTGGCACAGGTGACGCCAAATCAGTAATAAGAATAATAATAATAACATGTACTTTACTTATAGCCTTGTACTAAAAATACTGGTGTATTGAATGCTTGGCTCATGAAATAGGAATGTGAATCTTGGGTCATAAACAAGATATGTACAATACTACAAATGTGTTTTACATTAAGAATAGGTGAAATTGAATTTGAATGTTTCTCCTCTACATTTATTCAGAATTTTTTTAGTCTAAATGTGTTTGAAACAAGTGAACATGTAGAGCAAAAATATGGCACATGTTTAAAACTCAAGACATCATGTACCGGTACATGTATCAAGTGTCTATGAATGCAACTGTACATTTCTCATATAACCTGGTACCGTAGTCATTATGCATACATTACCTGTACGTATAATGAATGTAGAAACATTCAATTAATTTCACTTAACCTAGATGTAGATGTAAATCTTGACAGTTTAGAGTAGACTACTAATAGCTGGGTATCGGTAAGTGGTTACTGGTGGCAATATTGTTTAATACAGAAATCTTTTATGATTACATTTATACAACAAAGTAGACTAGAGGAAGCTAGGCTACTGGTGATTTAAAGAAAAGTTTATTAATGCTTTTTACTTCTCTTTTCTTGTTTGTTAACATTTTTTTTGTATAACCTCTTTTTTTTTGGTCTCTGGCATTCTCCACCTAAGATGATGAGGGTAATTTATACTAGGTGTATCTAGATGTTCATGTGCAGTGCTGCAGTATATGAACTATCATTGTTGTGTCCTCTTTTATTTACAGAGTATCTTTAATAGAGCTGTCAACATTTTAATCAATGTTACAATCAGAACTATAGATATACCATTTATTTTGCATTCATACTTGTAAACTACAAGTACATCTTAAAAATGTACATTGCCATTATGCTTTTCTTCTCTGCTTATCCCCCTTTTTGCTTGTTCGGTAGTCGGTATTAATCATAGACTTCGTGGGCTTTTAACTTGTAGTATATTTTTGTGGTGGTTATTTTATTATTTTTGAATTATTATTGTTGACTTTGGTGCATGAGGATAACTTTTGGTATTAAATGCTTGGTCTGCTTAGAGAGGATTTCTATGATGTGTAACTTATTTTTACTTTCGAATGAATCACTATCCTGTTCCCTTTCATGATTAGCATTATTCAATGAGCTTGAAGGTCCTCTAAAGTGTTGGGATTTCCAAAAATCGCCAAAAAATTTGAAGGCAAAATTTCACTAGAATTGCATCATAGTGTGAAAGAAGATGTCATTTAAGACACAAGTCTGCAAAGATTTCGCCCCAAAATGTGTTTGAAGACAAATATTAATAAAAGAAAACATGATTTGGGTTTGTACCCCACAAACCTAAATTTTGAAAATTCTCACAGAAACCTGTAAATGACATTCTCTTTCACATTATGATACAATTTAAGTGAAATTTTGCCATCAAATTTGTGGGGCTCCAAACACAGAGGGGCTTTAATTGGTTTCTCAGAAGGATAATTCTTCAAGGAGCTAACTACTATTAGAGGTGACCCACGATCATCTTAGAAGTCCCATATTTCAATCCAATTCAAATAGTCCTTTTTAACTACAGTAGCATGGTGTACTATATTCAACTATAATATTTGAATCTTGCATCATTAAAATGTGGGGTAGGGCTCTTTGTATTGTATTTTATGTTTATTTTTACAGGGGTTTTCATGTTATCCGAAATGTAAGGTACACATAGATGACTCATGCAGGTTTCCAGAAGTCTCTCATTATTGTTTGCATACCATTTGGTTCATGGTTATTTGACTCGTTACTCACATACATTATCTAGCTTGAGTGCCTGTCCTTTCATACTCATACAGGTTTGTTAAAGGGGGAGCAGTTACATTAGAATATATACATGTATGTATGCTTTGATCTGGTTCCATTTATTCTGCAGTTTAAACATATGATTTTTTTTCTGTATACTACAAATTCTTTCTCCCTTTTGTATAGTTTACATGTATATCTGCTGTAGATTTATACAAAGCACATACATACTTTCTCATCTGTCGTGATAGCTGATAGCCTTCAGTATTTTCTCCTTCATACATGTTTATTCTCTTGTACTAAAAAAATGATTTTGTGTACATTATTCAATGTTATAGTTATGAAGGTACATTCAGTCAATTACATACTTTTTATCATTACATGAATCAGAAAATGCCCTGCTGAAATTCCCTTTGATTCAAAATGTCATTAAAAACATTGAAATTTGTAGTTTTGTAGATACATGTAGATGTAAATATATATGTAGTTCTGTGCATATTAATATGCTACACATTATCGTGCTTAAACTGTGCCTTTTATTTGTAATATCTGTATTTATTTTCTTGTTCTTGTTGCTATTAAAGTTAGTAAGTGTTATTTATTTAGGCCTACAAAGTGGTATTTTTGTTTTATTATTATTTTTTTTTACTCCAGAGTCTTTATTAGTTTATTTGACAATTTTTATTTTTTAATAGTCCCTCTAGATGTAGGTTTAGAAGAAAGAAAACCCGCTGTACAGTAGGTGTTGTTTTACCCTTTATGTACATGTAAGTTAATCTTGTGTTTGTGTGCTTTGAGTTAGAAGAAACCAAGGAATAACTACATGAACCCCATTTTCTTCGCATAGATTTCAATCGGTTTCCTGATTTAATTTAAAAAGAATTTATTTATATACTTTTTTAATTTGTTTTTCATCATGATTTTTTCTCTCTCAAAATGGGTAGTCCCTGAGGTTGATGTCAATCCAGTTTAAAATTAGGGGGGAGGGGGGGGGGGGGGGGGTGAGGTGCCATTTTTTCATGACTTACGCAAGAACTCTCCACCTCGCTTCGCTCGGATTCCTAAAACCCATCTTTTTTTTAACTCTCACTGTCACCCCTGCATAGAATAAATATAAATTGTCCTAGTGCTATTTTAATGTGTGTATTGCTATATTTGTAATTTCCGTCAGTATGATGTTGTGTGGAGTACCTGTTTTTATACTTTGCACTGTAAGTTTTGTTTATTTCTTCTTTTTGTTGGGGTTTAGCTTCATCGGCGAAAGCACGTCCCAGCATCAACCCAGCAGCCCACAATGGAGACCTCTACGTTGCCCCGGCTGGCCCACTGGCCAAGGCTCAGAAAGAGGCTCCAGCTTCATGTATGTATGAATGAATGAAATCATAAATGGAAAAACATTGGAATGTAGGGGAGTTGATGACTCTCTGTAATGTATTTAAATTTCTAGTTGTAAATGTACATGTATGTAAATGTATAATGCTTGTTCCAGAAAGTTTTGTTCTCTCAAGTGAAAAGCTATACAAAAGTTGTGTTTAACAATAATTTTAATCTGGATTGTAAATTTGTATGTTAGAAATAAACACTTATTTGAATTTAGACTTGCAATTTCTTGTAATGATATTAATGATAACAAATGTAATTTATATAGCACCAAATCCACTCTGTGGAGTGCTCCAGTCACATTGTACATGTGTAAATAAGGTATGTTTCTAGTTGATGGATCATTTTTGTTATTTTGCCTTCAGCTCGACGGAGGTCAAATGTCGTGAAGGAAGTGGACAGGATCAAACAGATGAGAGAAGAAAGAAGAGCAAAGCAACTTGTTCAGATGAAAGAAAGAGCCAAGGTAAGAAATCATAGAATAAATCAAATAAATAAATCTTACAATATCTTTGTCTCTCCCCCCCCCCCTACCATTGCCTACTCTTTCTATCTGTCTTTGTCTCTATGTTCTCTTGATATTTTGATATTTTTGATATCTTTACATTTTTCTCCTTACCCCTCCCTTTTATACCAATCTTGAGCCGATCAGGTGAGATCGGATAATAATTTTTGATCGCCGATCAATAAAATTGATCAGATTTTTTTTTTTTTTTTTTTTATTGACGAAAATTTTCAAGTTTGTAGCTAGATCAAATGCTTAAAAAAATGCATAGCTGGGTTTATTTTGTCATGTGGAGTTATTGTAGACCATGTTTGTTGATATTTAGTGTCTTTTTATCACTTTGAAATTAATAATATTGGTCTAAGAGAAGAGGCAAAACATGCGGGCCGCCATCTTGGATTATTATCTTCCGATCCGATCAAAGCCCCAACTTGCAGGGTTATTTTGAGCAAAGGTTTGCAACGAGATAGTAATTGATACATGTACATGTATGTCATCAATGGCATATGTTAGTTTTGCATACCATATAATCACTCCCAGGTATTGCATGAACCGATTATTGTATCAGTATTGAGTGATGATCTTGAGATTGCCATTGATAAGAATAAAATATGAACAATTTTCAAAGCCGTATTGTATGTATTGATTATTAATGCACCTGCTCCTGCTTTATAGTATTGTCTGGTATTTTTAAAGACCCTGATGAAAATGCAACTTTATATCAATGGAAAGCTGACAGAAGGTAGATAGGAATAACAATTATTTCCCTTTCCTTATTAAATAAAGGAAAATTAAAACCTCATTTCCACACCCCTCCACATAGGGGTCAACAGCGGTCAAACTTACACAGTTATGGTGATGAAATATCATGTGGACCCGATTGGCTCGTCTGTATAACTGAGATGATAAGCCATGCTTAATTAATGCAAAGATTTTTAGGTCATCAAATTTTAGGTCGGCCTCTTCCGATTTTGAAAGCTTTAGATTTCGAGTTTTCAGAGAGCTGTTACTCCTCTGACAGACACCAAAATAGCATATAATTGATATTATTGTTATCTATAGCTTATAAGCTTTCCTTTGATATATAATTCGTCTACATGTATTTCATTTTTCACTTCCAACCAATTCTTTAACATGTCCCTGGTTTCCATAATAAAATTCATGATATTATTAATGCTCGGTAAATATTTCTTGATTTTCTTCCAATACATTTCTCCTCTTGTTCTATGTGTGTGTAGGATGACGATGGTACACATCCCCATTGGGAGTTCTTGAAGATGATAAGAGAATTTACAGATCAACTTGACTTCAATCCTATTTCTACAAGTGACAAGGTATAATATTATTAATAATACTTAATAATAATAAGATTAATAATAGTATACTTTCGTACTCAAATTGTGAATGCAGTTGGAAGTGTTGTAAGATATATATGCTTACTTTAACTTTGGAATTTTAATTCATGTCATTTAGTTTTTCTTCTCATAGTTCTAAATGTTGATATTTAATCATGTAGATATATATACAGGAGACTTATATTCATTATTGTCAATTTTGTAATGCAATCACTGTTAGTTTTGAACATCTATATTGCACTTGCACTGTTAAGCACTTTGAGACATTTGTATTTAAGCGCTATATAAGCAGAATATATATTATATTCTTATTGATACATGTATAATAAAGTATATTTTCTTATGTTATACCAATGAAAAGAAAATGTATGTTTTCATGCAAACTTTTTCAGTTGATTAACTTCGAATGTTTTTATATCTTCTGTCCTGCTCTCTTTTTATTCATTTTTTCTCTTCATTTTTCCACCCATTTTTTGTCTCCTTCTTCTCACAGGTGGAAGACCATCAGATATGTGTGTGTGTGCGGAAAAGACCCCTGAACAAGAAAGGTAATTACTTGTCTTTAAAGATAAAGTTGAGTTATGATCATGCTTTTGCTTGTGAAAGAAATATTGTGGAATCAATCAGAAAAAGTTGATCATCTAGCATATAAGTATTGGTGTGTACTGCAAGGTTTTGGAATCATCAAAAAGATAAGAAATTTGGCCCAGTCTTGGTAAAGTTATAAGCACTGTACATAGAAAGATGTATATGGGGCTACACGAACATGTGGCATAAAAATCTGTCCCGATTTTTATGATGTTACATGCCATATTTAGAATATTAAGGCATTTAAACAGCCATGCTTTTCAAGGAACTTTTTTAATCTGATGTTCTTCCACACTTGCATAATAACAATGATAATGCTCACAAATTATTTTTCACCTCTTCCCAGAACTCAACCTTCTCTTTAAACTGTTTTTTAAAAATGTTTTCATATAAAATTTTGTGTATGATTGTGTTAATTTTTGTATCATTCATTTGTAATCATATCTTGCTCTCATTTTTGATTTTGTTGAAAGATGAATCTTATTGAATTTGACTTTTTTTTACGAACACAATATTTATCGAAAAATATGAATTCTGTAGATTTGTGTTCTTGATTTGTACGTCCCTTGAGAGACCAATGCCAGGAAATGGTGAGAGAAAACAGTGGCATGAATGGCTTGCCATGGTTAAGTCCAACTTAAAGTCGATCTTAGTCTTTGTGAAACACCCCCCTGGTCCCCATTTTTGTCATGGGTATGGAGTGGCAGATGTAGAGTTATGCCTTGCCAATGGACATTAGTGCTGGGTAAGGGGTCAAACCCATGACTTTTGCATTTTCAGTCAAGTGCTCAGAACACTCAACTCATACCTGCCAACTGCTACGATTTTGGGGTAATTATTACAAATTTTGTTTTAAATTACGCCTTTCGATTTTGTGCAACAAAATTAAAATTAAAAAATATATATATTCCTGTCAACCGACGCATACCCGTGTCCAGGAGAGCACCGGCATGGAACGTGGGTAGAAATGTTTCTCAGCTCAATCACTGCCAACTCACCACTCAGAAAGTGGGACCAAATGTCCAGATTTCTGTTTGGACTCAGAGGAAAATTAGTCTGTCATCTTTGGTTTTAAAAACAGCATTGTTCACTATTATTATTATTATTATTAAATCAGCGTGAGTTTTCGGTGAAAGACCTGGGATACTTCTGTTGTTGTTGTTGTTGTTCGTTTGGTATTATAATGGCTATTAGTCAAATTTGACTATTGTTGCCAATTTCATCGCATCTCTTTCTTGTAATGTCTTGGTAAAATTATTATTTTTCTTTCTTTTTCCAATCTCATTTTAATATAATATTAGTCATAGTCTACAAAAAAAAAAAAAAAAAATTCAAATTAAACCACGATCCGCACACAGTTCCAACTCACGCTGGCCCTGTCCTTTCTATGATGCCTTCTTACCAGCCCAGCGAGTTACGTTACGCCGTACGCTTCTCGGTTGATAAACTCAACCTAGGTCACTCTGGCAAAGACAAAGGGGCGTCATGTACCTGTATGTTTAGAGGGTTTATTTATTTATTAGGAGAAAAACAACTGCATAAGCAAAACACTTGTGGGCTTTATTAGTTTATATGAGTTAGTTAATGAGATTATTTATATAGTGCATGACTTTTAACTACTATAATCATTGGGGGGTGACATGCTTTCGAGTAATAGCAAGTTTTAATTGCTTTTGTCACCCTGGCCAGCAGATTGTATCCTTCTCTCTCTCTCTCTCTCCTCTCCACTTCCCTAAAGTTGTGTGTATGTATTAAGATATGTTTCCGATTGGTCAAATAAATAATGATAAATTGTTTCAATTATTTGTTTGTTTTTATTTTTATTTTTTAAATTAAAAGAGGCTTAAATAAGATATATGTCTATACGATCAAAACTTCAAATAATCAATACACTAATAGGCCTATAAGGTTATACACAAAATTTTCTCTTCTATTCAGTTCAAATTGATTGCGGTCAAGTTCTGTTTTTCATCTCTTTTTGATTTTACTCTTTACATAGTCGCTTCGTTCAAAAAAACAGCGAGAGCAATTGCCATTTGTACACGAGAGTCACTTTTTCGTAAACATATCATAATGTCCTCTTCCTTGGAAATATAAACTTCTGACATTAACATGGCCCTTTCTATTATATACTTTGGACATTCTATCAAAAAATGTCTGACCGTTTCTAATGTTGGACAGCTGTCACAGAAACCTGTGAAGTGGATGCCCAAACATAGGAGGTCTTGGTTGAGTCCAGACACTCCCAGGCGTAGTCGCCTAAGAGTAGTTTCAGTTTTTCTTCCCAATTTACAAGAATATTGTGAGATAACATTTGGCTGAAGGATTTTTAATGCCGATTGGGTTTCATTCCACCTTTCTTGCCAAAGTAACTTTGAACTGTACAAAATTAAACTTGTCTTTTCAAATAACGTCAATTTATTATGCATTTCAATTTCCTGAGTTAGAGCTTTTTTTGCGTAGAAGTCTGCCTTTTCATTTCCCACTATCCCACAGTGGCCTGGAATCCATTTCAAAGCGATTTTGATCCCTCTATATTTCAATCGGGTCGTTATTATAAATATTTCTGTGACAAAGGATTCGTCACTAAAATGTTTCAAGGCTGTGAGGGCACTTAAGCAGTCGCTAAAAATGACTGCACCTGTATAGATGTTTGTTTCTTCGATCCATTGAAGGGCAAGAACAATGGCAGCCAACTCGGCTCTATACGATGAGGTCAAATTTGCTAATCTTTTACATTGGTGTACAGAAAAGTGTGGGATATAGAAAGCAGCCGAGCATTGGCCCTTCTCCGGAAACTAAGATCCATCTGTATATATATATATGCAACTGGTTCGTAGTATGGTGGTGGCAAAACTTTTTTTAATTTATTTTTTTAAATTAAAAAACAAAAACATGGCGTCCCGGTATTCCGAGTATTCGCCTGTAAGCCTGAGAGTGTACTCGAGTACCTCATTAAACGCTTATACACAGCCCTTTATTTTTCTTCTCCAGGGTATATTTCGTCAGGAGAATTTTGAGCTTTTAGTTCTTGTTGTGGTTTTTTTTTGTGGGGGAGGGGATTGCATAAGTGTTGAAAATAAATTTAAAGTGAAGGAAAAGGGCATTCCTACATGTTGAAAATACCAAAAGCTCCCTACCGTGGGAGGGGGGACAGCCCTCTCCTACACCCACCCCCCGCTCGGTTGCTTTGCTCCCTCATAGTCCTTGTAACAAATGATTACTTTTTTTAGTCTTTAAAGGTTGGCAGGTATGTCAGCCATGACACTTCTGTGACACCTCTTTATCATCCTACAGAACAAAACAAGAAGGACCTGGACGTGTTGACGTTGCCTAGCAAGGACAAGGTGTTGGTTCATGAACCTAAACTCAAGGTGGATCTTACCAAGTACCTGGAGAATCAACTCTTCAGGTTTGACTATGCCTTCAATGAGGATGCTACCAATGAAATGGTCTACAAGTAAGTCTCTCTTGTGTGTGTAATTGGGTTTTTACAGACATGCATCAATCAGATGTGATTATTTACGTCTGGGGACCGACCTGTTACGCCACCATCCAAAAGACGTGACTCAGTTTCGAACCAGGGGCGTCTGAGCCAGCCTGTAGGCGAAGACGGAGAGCTGACCAAGCGAATGTGCCACTATGACTAGATCAACTCTCATCTCTTTTACATTGTTCAAGGCTTTGTATACAGTTAACTCTGCATAACACAAAGTCGCACAGGTCAAATTTTCCCTAAGTCATATCACTTTTTTTTTCAGCCAAACAATGCAAAACAAATTATTTTCACTTCCAAATTCGAAATTTGCATTAGTCAAACTATTTTTGCGTTCTGGACAGATTGGAATAATGCAGAGAGTTAACTGTATTCGATCTTATTTTCATTAATTTGTTTTCCCCCTCTGTCACTCACTTTTCTACTAAATATTATACATTTCTCACACTGTGTAATTTGACTCATTAATATTTTTAGTTTTTGGTAACAGGTATCCCCAATCACAAGCACTCTGTTGTGCTTTTCAGGGGCCATGGTGGGGGGGGGGGGGGGGGAGGGGCTTTTTCCCTTGATATCTTAACAATATAGTGGCCCCTTTATATTCATGGGAAATCAGCTAGAGTATGTATTACAGAAATGAATAAATATTATTTGTCTCTCAATTTACATAGTTCCTTTTCTCTTTGTACCATGCTTATTTCCTTGTGTAATCAACTCTCTGTATCCCTTCCATCTTATAACCTTCCTCTCTTTCTGCCCTCTTTCATTCTACATATTCTGCACTTTGTTGCCTCTCTTTTGTGTTGTTGCTCTTACTCTCTTTTTTCAATCTTCCCTTCATTTTTGTTAAGCTATCACTCAATCATTTTCTGTCTGTCTTTCTGTCTCTTTCTCTCTCTGTCTGTATGTCTCTCTCCATCACTCTTTGCTATTTGCTTCATTCCAAGGACCTAAACCTCCTACAACTGCCACAGTCAACCATGAAATTCTATGGGGACCGTGCATTCAACTGCATCGTTCGAAAATTGTGGAACTCTCTTCCTCTCAATATTTGAACGCTTTGTCCACTAATCACTCCAAAAATTGTCTAAAAACCTACTCATTTTGTCATAGTTAAAGGTAAAGGTGAGTTCTGGTTAAAAAAAGAAAATTGATTCTCACAGAATCAAATGAAACTTACACTGAATGTTCAAGATTACAAATAAATGTAATTTGCCAAACAATTTTGGTAGAAAATGTATACTGGCTGAGTAATGAGCATAGAAAGATTAGGAAATCGAGGTTAGTAGTCCCGACACGATTTGTGTATTCCCATATACATCTTTCTATGTACAGTGCTTGTTACTCTACCAAGACTGGGCCAAATTTATTATGATTTTGATGACTCCAGAACTTTGCAGTACACACCAATACTTACATGCAACATGTACATGATCAAATTTTTCTGATCCATTCCACACCTTTTCTTTCACAATGCAATCGGATGACCAGAACTCACCTTTACCTTTATCTTTAAGTACTGCATTCTATTACATTGTATGATTGTTTTTGATCTACTATTAGTCAAGTTAAATCTATGTCTTGTGTACTTTGTAAAACGCTTTAATAGAGATGTCTAACATTAAGCGCTATATAAATTCATTATTATTATTATTATTATTTCCATGTACAGATTCACAGCTAAGCCTCTAGTGCAGACCATATTCAACAGAGGCATGGCCACGTGTTTTGCATATGGACAAACAGGAAGTGGGAAAACACATGTGAGTTTGGCAGCTAGCTAGCTGTTGGTTTTATGAATCATCATTGGGGTGTATGGATTGCGCATGCAAGAGGAGGCCTACCTGTAGTATAATGTCTCCTTAAACATTAAAATTATACTCAATTGAATAAGTAAAGTATTTCTGTTTAGTTTATATAAGGATGCCCATTATAAGGCTTTTTCCTTCTTTTATTCGTATATATTATTTTATCTGTCTAACTTAGGCATTTTTTAGGCTTCATCATGTATGATTAAGGTAATGCTTATTCTTATGATTACGATTGTGGTTTTTGCTATGGTTAAGTTCATAATCATGTTCATGTTTATAATTATAATTCAATTCAAGGTTTATTTCAATATCCAATCATTCAGTGACATAAAATATATATTATTGGCAGTCCAAGAGCTGAAGTGCAAATGTTTAGATCATAGTAAAAGTATTGATAAAATTGCTTATGACATAATATATAAAAAGTATATGAGGACATTAAATGTGAAATGGACACAATGAAAATGGTGCTTATAAATACATGGTTTTCATGTAAGAAACAATATAATTGTAAGCAATATCATTATGACTATGACTGTGATGATAATTATGTTCGTTATTAGATTGTGATCGTGGTCATGATCATGATTTTTGTTATGTTAATTATGATTCTATTACTGATGTCAATCTCTATTTCTGAGCAGACGATGGGGGGAAACTTCTCGGGGAAGAATCAAGATGTGACGAAGGGAATCTATGCCCTGGCTGCAGCTGATGTATTCAGGCAACTGAACAGACCAGAGCACAAATCAAAGGAATTAGCTGTACACTGCAGCTTCTTTGAAATCTACAGTGGCAAGGTAACATTGTGAATGTATTGTAAAGCCAAATCCAATAGCCTGCTTCAAAAAATCTTGCTGTGATAAACTAAAAGCATTCATTTGTCAGGACAAATAACAAAAATGAAGTGTTTCTCATCCCTGCAGCCTCCTTTTTGGTCGCGCTGCCGCTTCCTTTTTAATTTTTTTTTACTATTCAGAAAAGGAAAAAAAAAGAAAGAAAAAGAAGCCTGTGACGTACATTTTGTTTAAATAGCTTCTAAAGTAATACAAATCATTTGTTTTGTCATACATTGCATCAGTTTCCTCACATAGCACAATATCTGTGAATAAATAGGCTTGGCCAGCTATAATTAGCATGGCAGTCATATTGGAAAAAAATTGCAAAAAAATTGCAAAATAGTAAATAGTAATGCCCTGCCTCCTCCTTTAAGAAAAAGTTTGGACGAGAAACACGATATTTTTGTTGTTTGGCCTTATTCCTTTAAAACTGCTCCTGGTTGTGATTCCACTTCAAAAATACTTATATTTTACCTTAGTACAAATTGGATTCTTTTTATTATATGGAAAATCAACACTGTCAAAGATGCTCTAACTTTCTGTCCAATTGATAAACAGTTTTAAGTTCAACTTGCAAGATAGGAAATTTCTTGAGTTTGTAAAAAAGAGTTATCACTAATTTTAAATTGTTCTTTTGTTCTTTTATACTGTTGGTTATTTTTTTAATTTTTGTCATTTACCTTTTGTAATTAGAGTCAAACATGTATTTTTTGGCCACCTATCTGTAAAAGCCACCTGTCTATAGTGGCTGTGTATATTGTCTCCATCTGGAAAGAAATGTGTGTTGTAATACCTTTCGAGAAAGGCCACCTTCTCTTTATCCCTTGGGTGGCCTCAATAAACAGGTTTCACTGTACTATATTTGATGCCAAAATTGCCAATACTATTTGTGTATATTTCTATTCTGTCAATCGCATAATGTTTATCTTTTCGTAAGCGCTTTGTATCCACTTTAAAAAAGGCACTATAGAAAATTCTTGATAGTATTATCATCATTACAATAGCCATGTTCAGACAAGGGTTTCCTAGTCGCCGTAAGTAAATCCCTGCAGCAATAAATATTCCATAAATATTTGACTTACACCATTAGTTGTCCATATGCTCTTACTCGGACCAACTTGCCACGATTACATTAACACGACCCAGTCTTACTCAGCGTAACTTCCGGACTTGGTGGCAGCTGCACTAGTTGACCTCAACCCAGCTTCCGATTCTAAACCACGCAAAATCTAAATTTAATTTTTGATTGTAAACAAACAGCCCTCGTGAAAAGTCGCAGATAGTCTGTGTGCCAAGTCAGACCATCCATACGGTCGGCTTCGCTACCCTCAAGTCTTGTAAGCACATTACTCCTGGGTTTACTAGGAGTAAATCGGTTGGCGTATAGGTCGGCGTAGCTAACACGACTATCGTTCAGACGATCACTACGCCGACCTTTAAGCTGACCAGCTCTAAACACGACCTTTACGCCGACCAAAATTGCCATCATGTGAACATGGCTAATAATATATCAGCTGTTAAATGTTATAAACTCTATTCCATTGATTGACAGGTGTTTGACCTGCTGAATAAGAAAGCCAAGCTGAGAGTACTGGAGGATGGTAAGCAGCAGGTCCAGGTTGTAGGGCTCCAGGAACGAACAGTCAAGAACACAGACGATGTACTCAAGCTTATAGGAATGGGTAACAATGTCAGGTGAATATACAGTAGGCTCGCGGGTGCACCATGTGAGAGAGAGGGAGGATTGAGGAGTCCTGAAAAGGACTCTCAGTAATCTTTCTTGAGGGTGTGTAGTGCTGTTGGTGTAGTCTTGAAAAAGACTGTTGGTTATCTTTCTTAGCTTACAGTTCTAAGGAGAACTAGCAGCATCTAATGTCAGGTGAGTGGTGTACAGGGTGTGTCAAGAACACAGACGATGTACTCAAGCTTATAGGAATGGGTAACAATGTCAGGTGAGTGGTGTACAGGGTGTGTCAATAACACAGAAGATGTACTCAAGCTTATAGGAATGGGTAACAATGTCAGGTGAGTGGTGTACAGGGTGTGTCAATAACACAGAAGATGTACTCAAGCTTATAGGAATGGGTAACAATGTCAGGTGAGTGATGTACAGGGTGTGTCAAGAACACAGACGATGTACTCAATCTTATAGGAATGGGTAACAATGTCAGGTGAGTGGTGTACAGGGTGTGTCAATAACACAGAAGATGTACTCAAGCTTATAGGAATGGGTAACAATGTCAGGTGAGTGATGTACAGGGTGTGTCAAGAACACAGACGATGGGACACCCGACGATGTACTCAATCTTATAGGAATGGGTAACAATGTCAGGTAGAGGTGTTGTGGACGAGTGGATAAGTCGCCGGACTGTGGATCACAAGGTCCGTGGTTCAAGTCCCACCGCAGCACTAATGTCCTTTGGCAAGACATTGATCTACATTTGCCACTCTCCACCCAGGTGTTAAATGGGTACCCGGTAGGATGCGAAAGCTAATGTGGTTAGATTAGCAAGTGTGCGCATGTAAAAAATGACGCCTGGCTGGAATGCTCCCCAGGGAGTGGAGAATGTGCATACATTGTGTGCGGGTAAGCCTGAATCCAATGACCGGGGTAATAATATACTTATCTGTAAAGCGCTTTGTGAGGGCCTCCGGTCCTGAAAAGCGCTATATAAGAACGAGCTATTATTATTATTATTATTAATTCAAGTTTTGAAAATGTATGTTGAACAATTAGTCCAGGAAATGATGGGAGATAAGATGATGTACATGGTATTAATCAAAGAGAACTCTCTGTCAAATAGCTATTTCACTTTTGATGACAATTGTAGCTAAGTCTCTCATACTTTTAGTACAACAGTACTAATATAATTCTAGTGGTTCTTATTGAAATATTGATAGTAAGATTTTCCTTACTTTGAAGTGATGAAAATAGAATGTTTTGATGATCAAATGGGCAATAGCCAGGAGCTGTTGTTGATGTTAATCAATGCAAAGCACTTTGGTCTTTTACTTTTCTCTGGAAAGGCCCTGTACGAATCCTAGTTATCAATGATCTTTATTTCTTTTACTTTACAGAACGTCAGGCCAGACGTCAGCAAACCAGCATTCTTCCAGATCACATGCCGTCTTCCAAATCATCTTGAGAAAGAGAACTTCAGGAAAACTGCATGGGAAGTTCTCCCTTATTGATCTGGCAGGTAATAGACAATCAAGTTTGGTCCATTAATGCATCTGTATGCTGTAAAACTCTACGATCTTGTTTTTTGTAGATGAAAAATAGTAAAACAGGACTATAGATTGTGTTGACCACATTGATGGGCTAATGCAGGTTATGGAGCAACCAACTTGAAGTTGAAAATGTTTACCTGCAGTCAAAGTCCAGAGCCTTTTGTGCACCCCTCCTGTTGCCACCATTTTTATTGATTTTATACTCTGTTCTGCAATTCTTCTTTTTCTAACCTTTGGCATGAAGTCCAATCCCAGGTCTTTCAGGCCTCTGTGGAACTCTTCGCTAGCATACCAGCCAACTATTCCTAATTTTGGAGGAATGATAGTTTTTCAGTCGGGGCCATCAAACTAATGTTTTAACCTGAAATCCCTCTTTTTCTAAAGAGTTTTATTTGATAGCATACAAATATGCTGCATTTCTAATTTTGCCTTAGAGATTCCCCGGTTGCAATGTAAGGGGTTTGCAATTATGCTGTATCCATCTCGACCCACTGTCTTTCCTGAGTACTTTTCTCCTTCCTCCTTTCAATCTTTTTCTGTCATTGTTAGATTATCTGGCCCACATTTGGCATAACAATACCTCTTTTCCATTTCCTTTTAAAGATATGTTATGTGTGAATGTGAATGCCTCCCATTTGAATAGTCTTTCACTTTTATCTCTCCATCTCTCTCTTTCATCTCAGGTAATGAGAGAGGGAAGGATACACAGAGCTCTAACAGACAGACCAGGATGGAAGGAGCTGAGATTAATAAGAGTTTACTAGCTCTCAAGGAGTGTATCCGATCCTTGGGTCACAGGACAGCCCATGTTCCGTTCAGAGCCAGCAAGCTCACACAGGTCTTACGAGATTCATTCATTGGAGATAACACAAGGACATGCATGGTAAGAAAGAGAGACACTCAATCTATCATTTTAGAAAAATGTAACAATACAATAACTGTTTGGTTATACAATGTATTGAATTTAAATCAATTTCAGTATCTACACTCTTTGATGTTTGATTTTAGTCCGAAAATTGCTTTTAATTCCCATTTGAACTTTCTTTTCATATTTTTTTTTTTTTTTCATTAAAAAAAAGGGCATGTAGTGTTAGAACCCTCGTAAATCAACTTGGAATGTCCTATCTCATACTTTTAATGCTTTGGTAAGGGAAATTTGAGATTTCCCTTTCTAATGATATGGTTTGGGCTTTAGAGCTCAGTTGTAATTATGATATTTTGCTGCCAACTTTGCTTCCTTGTATATTACCATCTCACCCACTTGGTAATACTGAATTTGATCCTGAAATTCTTGATTCATATAGTGCTTAGGATACCCACGTCCTATGAGCAGTTTAGAGAGATATCATTGGCTGCAGGCTGCAATGTTCCCTCAGTTTCCATGATGTAACATGATGTTTTTGACTAAAGTTCATGTCCTTGGGGGTGTTTCACAAAGATCCTAAATCGAACTTAACTCTATTAAAGTTGGACTTAAAAATTATGGAAAGCCATTAGCATCCTTGAAAATATTTTGTAAAAGTTATTTCAAAAGGCATAAAATGTTGATTCAAATCATTCATATTTTCTATTTTCATGGGAGATTTCATGTTCTTGGTGTGGAATTCATAAAAAGTCTAAAATACTTGGAATTTTCGCTTTTGAATGAACTTTATTTTAAGGCTACAAATGGCTCTCCATAATTTTTAAGTCCAACTTAGAGTTAAGTTCGACTTAGGATCTTTGTGAAACACCCCCCTTGTTTGGTTTGTTGTCTTCATCAGATTGCCATGGTTTCACCAGGGATTAGTTCATGTGAACACACGTTGAATACTCTACGATACGCAGACAGGTATGTAGTACTAAGTACTCTTCAAGAACTCGCTTACTTACATTACAGCAACACAATACTTTATTATTTATTTATTCTATCTATTTATGTTGACTTAAACACATTAACGAGCCCAAACAGTGACAAGATTGATTTCCATTGGGGCCATGTCAAACATTTAAAAAACATGTGTTGCATACCTTCCAACTAATACGATTTTGGCGTAATTATTACGATTCTTTGTTTTAAATGAAGTCCTCTTTCGCATTATACAATTTCAGTTAAATTTTGCCATCAAATTTTGGGGCTTCCAACACTTTAGAGGGGCTTTAAAAAAATGAGAAAGAGCTAGATTTTTTTTCTTTCTTCATACTTTACCAAAAATGAAGTTTCTTTTACTGATTGTTGCCTGTTTTTGTGATTGTTTACAGAGTGAAAGAGCTTGGTCCAAGCGGTCCTGGTGAAAAATTAGAAAAAGATCATTTTTTCCCTTTAAATTAGGTTTCTTTTAGTGATCGTTGTTTGTTTTTGTTCTTGTCATTGTTTATAGAGTGAAAGAGCTCGGTCCAAGCGGCCCTGGTGATCACGGGGTTTACGGATCTCCTACTAAGAATGGAGGTAGTCCTGAGAGGTCTCTATCGCCCAGTAACAGTGATCTACAAATGCTGTGTACCCATAATGAAGAAGAGGTATCGGTGGAGATGTACACATTCCATGAAGTCATGAACCAGCTACAGGAGATGGAGGAACAGGTGGTAGACTATCATCGTAACTGCCTAGAGGTAGGTCAGGCCTGATAAAAACCTGCTTTAAATCGGTTTCTTGATTTTTCCCCGATTTTTTTCTCTCGATTTTTTCTTTTTCTTTTTCCCCCCGATTTTATCCAAATTTTCCTGATTTTTGCCTTATTTTCTCTATTCTTCCCTATTTTTCCCTATTCCTAATTTTTCTTACTCGAAATGGGGGCAATGTTGTTAGATGCCATTTACCCGCGAATCCTCTTTTTTTTTTTTACTCAAGGGGGGCGTGGTTGAGGGGGAAAAAAAGAACCTATTTTTTTTTAGTGCTCACTATCACCCCTGAGGTAGGTAGACTTTTCTTTTTATGAGACAGTAGGCGCAATGGCTCAGTGGTAGAGCAGTGATCTCGTAACCGGGAAGTCCCGGGTTCGATACCAAGTCGATGTGCTAGCGCCTTTGGTAAGGTGTTGATCCTCTTTACCAAGACCCTCGGAGAGGACTTAAAGCTGTCGGTCACCTGGTCGCTAAACTTACAAGCATAAACATGATTTCTTAGCAGTCGATAAAACAAACAAACAAACGAATATTTAAGAATTTAATACAGTTATTGTTACTTAGGTTGACCTTGCCAAAGTCAAAGACTGCTTTGTCGATTCCCCAAGAAAGTCTTGATTAACTTTTTTTGTTTTGTTCAGAAGGAGAAGAGAAAAAACAACTTTTGAATAAGTCACATAGAATTTATAATCTCAGTGAGGTAAAATCTGTTACATTATTGCATTAAAGATGAAGGTGGAATACACTCCACCTTATAATTATAATCCAGTTATACAACCCATTATTCTATGCATGTTGAAAAGTTTGCTGCCATTTAATTATGATGTGTGAATCAGAATCTAGAATTTCTCGTCTAATTCTAAATTCAAATACTCTGTATGAATTGTCTTGTTTGTTTTCAGGAATCCAAGAATCTCATAGCCGAGGAGGAACAGTTGTTGGCGATGACAGATGAAGTAGATTATGATGTAGAAGGTAATTTGGATGCATTGCATTTCAACATTCTCAGCATTGTACTTAAATGGCTATCCAATCCTTGTAATAAGTTCATTTGTATGAAAGCAGAAGAATAAGATAAACAGAATGGCGAAAGTTTGAATTAAATCGGACCAATAGTTTGAAAGTTATGAATGTTTGAAATATGAGATCATTAAGTCTTTGCAAATCTCAGACTGGCAGTTTGGTCATTGGATCGCGACGTAGTCATGGATAACTCTTCCGTTCTTTGTGTACAAAAATATGGTTAATTTCTGTTTTTCTCCTAAATTCCTTTTCCCTTGGGGCACTACTCAAAATATAAAATGGATAGCATATTATTACAGGTCTTCTAAAGAAAAAAGACCCTTCTGAGTTATACATTTATGAAAAATTGAAATTTGAGTAATTTTGTGTTGGAACAAATGGGAAAGTTGTCCGTCACTACATCACAGAGACGTTACAAACTCAGCCACATTGAAGAACCCATAGCTAATAGTGATCACAACTCAAAAAAAAATCTTAACTTTCTCATATTTTGTCCGGTTTCATTCAAATATTGACCTGTCTGCTTCTCTGTATATATAGCTCACCTTTCATGCTCTGAAATCATGCACCATTTGAATGCCTCCTGTAGTTTCCTGGCTAGCTCAATTTCTGTCTTCTTATTTAAGATATACACATTATTTATTTACAATGTATGCGATTGGTCCTTTCTCCATTACCCAAAACTCTTTGTGAAAGTACTTGTTGTCCTTTTACTTTTTTCTTCTTCTGTTGTACTTGCAAGTCATTATTTGTTGTATCTTACAATACAATACTATTTCATTTTAAAGTCACATGGATTGGAAACAAGGAATAGTTATTTAGTTGATGATTTTATTTTTCTGGTTCATTTTTTTCTTCTCCATGTGACCATCTTCAAACTCTACTTTTGTTTTATATTTATTCACTGTCTTCTTTCATTTTGTCTTTTCCGAATAAGTAGTAATACTGATAATACTGATAATAACATGGGATGACAGCAAGAACTTGGTTGACCCATACTTTGTATGTTTTGTTTTGTTTTGTATCTAGATTACTGCTCTGGCCTGGAAGCCATTCTCTCCAGAAAGATCCAGATCTTATCGGACCTGAAGGACAAGGTTTCAAACTTCAGAAGCCAGATCTCAGAGGAGGAGAAAGCCAGCAAGAACATCAAGAAATGAGGTGGTAACCATGGCAACGCATCCCTCCCCCCATTCCAACTGTCTTTGACCGTACTCAATGTGTGGAAAATGTAAACAATGCATAGACAAGCTATTCTTATATTAGATTAGTCATTCCTATAGATGTGCTTTGGAGGCAATCTCCTAAGCAACTCATCATCTTTAAATAATCCTGTAGTTTTAGAAAGAAATATGTAATTTTAATGATAAAGAGGTCGTTTCTATGGCAACATGATGATCCACATGTCAATCCATAGTCTTTATCCTGCTCTTCATAGTAAGCGAAGATGGAAGCATACTCTTTTTTTTTTAAATTGACAAAACAGTAGAGATACAAGTAGCAGATATTGCAAGCCAACATTAGCTATCGTGCTCATGCTCAATACATGCTAGTATTTATGCATCAGCGTAATGTTGAATACTTGTTGTGTGATGTTATCATGACGTACAACACGGGATAGTTTGGGATGCACACTATTTTAATTGTATAATATTCTGTGATTTTTCATTGAGCTTTGAAGTAAATAATATTGAGGCTATGAATGTAGGCGATTGTACTTCAATACACATGTCATTAAAATGCATGAAGTATTCAATATTTATATCTGAAAAGATTCAAACTAAACCCAGTGATATACCAGTAGTTATGAAGAATTATTTGATTCCTTCTTGCATCCAACATCTATTATTTGCTATAGATTTATTCATAGATTAAGCTAGCAATCCAAAAAGTATTTTTGATATTGTGGTGGTAGGTTATACACATAAACTACATTCAGAGCACAGCATACGAATATCAGCACAAGGGATTTATGATTCCTTGTCGTTTTGCAATCGATCATCCATATATGATCATCAGATTTTTTGTATTGTGCAACTTATAGGAATTATTGGGTGACATAAGCTGACAAGATGCATGGTATCCATTCTAAAAATTGACTTTTTATGATGCAAGGTCTTATTCAACATTAAAAACTGGCATAAAAGATCTTCAAGAAAATTGGCATACCGGTACTGAAGGTACTTGGTGTATTTGACATTTTACAGTTAAACCTGCATTAGCGATCACCTTTCTATAAAGACCACCTGTCTATAGTGGCCAAGCATTTTGTCTCCCATGAGAGAGAAATGTGTGTTGTAGAACCTGTCTAGAAAGGCCACCTATCTACACTTTTTCTGTTTCCCTTGAGTGGTCTTTATAGACAGGTTTGACCGTACCTTCGCGATTGTACATAAAAGCAGTATAAAATGCTACATCACATTCTCTTTACGCATTGGATGTAGAAGGAAAATAGCAAATTTGAATTTAAAAAAACACACAATGCTTGAAAACTTCTATCTTCTTTTAAACCACAGTTCAGACTAGTGATGTATTATGGGTCATATTGGCCCTCTCTAGTCTGACATTTACATGTTAAAAGTGAAGCTAAGCCTTACTTTGTGCAGATCTTTTCTCTATGCAAGTCAGTGAATTTCTCCTTGTTTTTTTGTGTTATTGCAGTTGATTGATTTAGATTTCTGGTTTTCTAGTATTCATATGAAATGAGCTGTTCATATGTTATGCTCACATGAACACACAAAAACTTAAGATCACATGATGCATTCCAGTCAAGGTAATGAGCCTATGTGCAAACCTAACCTGCCAGAAAGAAGTTATCCATCCTATTTCATATTGTATATTGTTTCATTTCATCAATCCACCTTTCTCTATATAAAAACCAACCTTCCCTTGCCATTGTCTTTACCAGTTGATACATCGACGGCCGGGTGGCAGAAGGGCGTTAGCGCGTGAGCGACTTGAAAACTACTTTTCAAATTATTCGCATTTAAAGATTTGTCTTATATTTAAAATGCTTCCGTCCCGAAAATTGGTTAAAACATAAAAGACTAAATAGAAATGTTGTAGTAGAACATGGCCACAATTTTTTTCTCGGAAATAAGTCAGTTTGATAAAAGTTGAGGCAATTTAGTGCTAACGCCCTTCTACCAGCCAGGCGAAGACATGTATCTCATCTAATCAAATTTATTCCAATCATAAGTCATTTATACATAGCTGATACATCATGTTATTTATAACCTTGTAAATCCTGAATATAGCAAGCATATGGAATACAAAATTGAGTAAAAAGTTTTGGGCACTCGGTGGGAGAAAAGATTTTATTGTAAAATACGGCTTTCCCTATCTTGAAATTAGCCAAATTGTTGTGCTGTTGTGGTTCGTATTGGGCGTGATGTAATAATAATAATAACGGTGGCTTCTTATATAGCGCTCATGTCCATCACGTTGTGACGCTCCTGGCGCTGCCCCGATTATTACCCTCGATAATGGTAAATGATGTATAAAAGACAACATCAAACTTTTTCTTGAGACACCATTGATATGATCTATCTCAATGTGAATAGTAAGAGCTTCATTCCTTTAAGATCTTTGCTGTGACAATGCAGTGGCTTTTATGCAGTGTAGAGGGTTGTTACCTGTGACCTTGTATTTTATGACTGAGCCACGTAATTGTCCGATCCATGGTAAATGCATAGCCTCAAATTCATTTTTTTTAAAAACATCAACAACACATCATCATCTGCACTTTGAATACGTACACCTGGGCCCTGTATTACAAAGAGTTGATATCAATCGCAACTTATTTGTGATTGATATCAATCACAACTATGTACATAAGAAATGGGAGACTGCAAACTTGTGATTGATTTAGGGACTTGTTATTGATTTGGATCAATATCAACTCTTTGCCCTGGGCCCCATTTCACAAAACTTGTCATCATTGACAAATGACAGTATTTGTTATAAGCTACTGAAATCCTTACTTCTGATTGGTTATCAGCAGATTTGTCACTGATTTTTGTCATTTGTCATTGAAAAAAAAGGCTTTGTGAAACGGGACCCAGACCATAGCCAGTTGAGAGAGAAATTTACGTCAAAGGACATTGTTTCTGATTGGTCAGGCATTTCATGAAGCTCCAAAATGATTTGTTCTCATAGAGATTGTACATTATGGGAGGGAGCTATTTGGAGCTTCATGATCATGTAACCCAAGACCATGCTCGGGTACGTGTATACACCTGTGACACAACTTTCTCTCTCAATAGGCTATGCACCAGACTCTTCTTAATGAGCTCACTTATTCCTTTGTGGTTTGTTTAGCATATTTGAAACATGCTCTGTTCCATGTTGTATTGGTATCTTATTACAGGGTATGGGTTTAACCATTGTCAATAATTAGCTGTCATAGTTTTGGGAAAGTTGTGCAACCTTCAATTTTAAGTTCACGGTTGTTATTCAGTGGTTCATTTTATAGGTAAATATTAATGCATTTCATTACATTTCTATACTGAAGGGAATACATTCCAACTCGATTAATGACATAAAGTTATAATTAAGTTTTAAACTCAACAACTGCTATGTGAAAAGGTGAGAAAGAGAATCGATTCTTTATGTAACTAAATAAAGTGTAACAATAATTCATGTATTAATCTCCCAGTGTGAATGATAAAAGTACCGCTAGAACATATTTTGAAAGATGAAGATAATTGTTTTATTTATAAAAAAAAGAAGTAAATAGCTTTATTCTCCGCTGTTTAGTATAGCTTAGTCCATTGAATATGGAGCCTGAGATAACGGTCTGGAATAAATGGAAACTTGGTGTTGTACCAAAATCAAATCGTATCCATCGGGTCAATACAATTTCTAATAAGATTACACAATTCATGGATTGATTATCAGGACGTTATGTCAATGTCGGGAGCTGTTTAGACTCACCTGATCTAGATACAGTAAACAACTAAATTATTTATACTAAATTTACTTTACAAGTCAATCCTCACTATTTTAAAAGTTGCCATTCAATGTTTTTGCTATGTGTTAACAAAGGAACCATTACTTTCTGTGTGATGTAAACCATTTTCTTTCTGCTGTTTTCTTTTTAGAGTTCTATTCTTTTGATTTTCTTTTATTGCATGAGTGTTGTAAATACTGTGTTATATATAGATAAAACTATGAATGTTCTAAAGTGGTCTTATTATTTAAAGAAAAAGCACTATGGGCCATATAATTGAAAACTAAATGCCATAAGACAAATGAAGAGTTTAATTCCAAAAGGAGCTAAATCCATTTTTGTACTTCTGAGAAAAAAGAAATTGTTTACCAGATTTTGTACAGGCATCTATGGAAAAATGATATTAGAAGGTGCATTTTGTCATAATTGCTCCCAAAATGTGAGTAAATCATTTTTTTCAAAGACGGGTACTTAAGTAAACAATGTTCTGATATCAATAACTCAATTTACGTCAAAAGTGGATTTAGCTCCTTTGGAAATTAAGCTCTTCAAATTCTTGTATAAGACTCTGCTCTGTGCTTAATGTATGTTGACATATTATATATATTCTGACCATAAGGTCAATATTGTATAGCTATTAACTTGTAAAGCGTGTGCAAATGTCCTTGTGTATAAAAAGCCTATTCCTAAATCCAGAAATCTTCTATACACTGTACTTGCTGTTTTTCTGATTTGAAGTGATTGAATAAATGGAAATCACTCTGATGCTAAAACAGATGAGAAGTCACATTTAGTTTGTTGATCTTTGAGATTCATTACTTCATTACAGGAATTGGATTATATCAGCAGTGTAGAGAAACATAGAGAATGAGTGAGAGGGAGAGGATATGCATGAGAGGGAGTGGAAATGTGAGATAGAGAGAGAGAGAGAGACACACACACACAGATGTAGAAATGTTCACCATCTACATACATGTACATGTACAATTGTAAAATATATGACTTAATTGATAGCAAATAGATGAAATCATACTACTACTACTACTGCTACTACTACAACTACTACTTCTACTACTAATACTGCTACTACTACTGCTAGCACTACTCAAACTGTACTAATATTTGTACATGTACTTCTTCTGCTGCTGCTTCTACTATATTCGACTTGTTCGTATTCTTCTCCTTCTCTTCCTTCTCTTTTTCTTCTCCTTCTCTTCCTCCTTCTTTGTCTTCTCCCCTCCTTGTACTTCTTCTTCTTCCTTCTATTTCCCCTTCTTATCTTTTTCCCTATAGTTGCAATAATTCCCAAACAATAGTCCGATACATTCATAATGACAATCACAAGCAGAAGAAACCAATAGCATATTTACTCCATGGCTCTTTTATATCTAGCCCTTTAAATGAGGATGTCGTATGAATTAACAAAATCATAACATTCTCCTTGTCTGCAGTTGGGCTGTATTACACTAAGTCAACGTGCCTCGGACGATGCCAAACAAAAACGGCATCACTTCTCGCACGGTTTCCTAGCAACAGCTTCCGTGACTTAGCAACGGATGCTTAGTGGTCGTGTGTAATGTGAATGCCTTTTTTAGTGTGGTGTTGTGAGTTTCCATAGATTATATTAATCTACTACGCTTGGGATGGATGCTTACAAGTATATTACTACATTTAATCCGTTTTTATTTAGTGCATTATATATGTATTACTGCATTTGTTAATCCACATCATCTTTATCATCATCATCCTCAACAGCAGCATCATCATCATCACCCTCCTCCTAATCATCATCATCATCAATCACCATCATCATCATCATCATCACCACCATCATCACCATCATCATCATCATCATCACCACCATCCTCATCATCATCATCCTCAGCATCATCATCATCATCACCATCATCATCATCATCACCATCGCCATCATCATCATCATCATCATCATCATCCTCATCATCATCTTCATCCTCAGCCTCATCATCATCATCATCATCATCATCATCATCATCATCATCATAATCATCAGCCTCAGCATCATCATCATCCTCCTCCTCCTCCTCCTCCTCTTCCTCCTCCTCCTCCTCCTCCTCCTCCTCATCATCATCATCAACATCATCATCATCATCATCATCATCATCATCATCATCATCATCCTCCTCCTCCTCCTCATCATCATCCTTAAAACCTTCAGCATCGCCATCATCGTTTTGATATCATACTTCCATCCTTAGTATGCCATCATTATCTCCACCAGTATCTTATTGTTACTATCACTATCGTCGTCATCGTTTTAATAATGATTATTATCTTTATCTCCTTCTTTAACATTATCATCATCAAAACCATCGTTGTCATGACGGCAGCCACCGTTTCCCCCACCATCCCTTCTCTGACGAGGCATTTTTACTCATCTACAGAACAATGTTACTATATTAAGCATAGTTTCATGCTTAGACTTGTCATAACGATTCCTGATGGCATTAATAACCAGTGATTACGTGATAGTCCCTTCCTCTTCGTATCACATCGATCATGTCTGTTAAAATACAATTAAATCTCAGACGCGTTTTGTCATTAATTACGTCGCGGTCGCAAATTAAAGACCGTTATTTGCTAATGAACGTTTCTACTCCTATTCAGTATTCACAGAACGAGTTAATTGGAACCTATCGACGATTATTGGGAGAGAGAGAGAGAGAGAGAGAGAGAGAGACAGACAGACAGAGAGAGAGACAGAGAGAGCTCTTTTTTAAGACATGAAGGACTAAGTGAATAGGATAATTCAGAAGCTATAGGTAATTCAATGATTCCATTGAGAAACGATTATAGACTGCACAGTGAACCTACTGTGCAGCATGTCTACAGCAAGGATATACTTTATAGAGAGATACATGTACATACAGAATAGGCCTAAACATAACTTTTATATTTGATTATAACAACTTTCCATTTATATGGGTCTTATTTTTATGCTTATCATCAAACTGGATCACATCCATTTATAGGTGCGGTAACATAATGAGGTGTTCTGAAGGTGCTGTGATGTAGTTTAGTGGTTCATTTACTTGACTCTCAATCCAAGGCTTGAGGGTTCGAATCTCAGCACCCGCACTAACGTCTTTTAGCAGACACTAATCCACATTTGCCACTTTACACCCAGGTAAAGACGGGTACCTGGTAATTGCAGGGAAGAACAACTGCTGATGATGGGAATTCCTGGGTAAACTACAGTTATTGTAATTTATATCATTATATTATTCTCTGATTGAGTGACCGGAGAGTGCCCAGTGCAGCATTTTCAGAATTGTTAGCATATACTTTTCAATTTACGTTACATTTAAGAGAAATAGCCAAGTAGACAGGTTTGTATATGTCGTAAATCAGTTTTATTTTGGCCGTCCTTCAACCGATATAACGA